CTACTAGTAACAAGGGTATCGCTACTAGTAACAAGGGCATCGCTACTAGTAACAAGGGCATTACTACTAGTAACAAGGGCATCGCTACTAGTAACAAGGGCATTACTACTTAGTAGATTCTAGTAGCAAGAAGCTCCTGCTGGCCAAAGGATCGACCAGATTGCACGAATCTCGTTCGGGAGGGACTGGACCACCATTTGTGGCGCGTCCCATCCAGGCCTGGCGCAGCCCTCGTGTCTTGGAGTGTGTTGGGAGCTTTGGATGTGGGAAATCGATTTCTCCAAACAAGGGCTGAGAACAATTAGACCTTCAAACAACTAGGATATCAGACAAACAAAAATAAACAACTCAAACATCTTATTTACACAAGTGAGAAAGCCAACTGACATTTTGCTGGTTTTGTCTCTTCCTGAGTTTAATGACAAAACGACAAAAAAAAACAGAGTGCAGATACACTCAATCTAACACATGCATAATTATGCAAAACAGATTTGGATTCACTGACTGATAAGGGAGTGTATCCCTATTTATATATATCAATATATGAACTCATTGGATAAATTTGATGAGGAACAATTGTAGTCATTTGTATGAAGAAAACATCACTGATAAATAAAGACAATGCCAGGGCAAATATCAACACACAGAAGACCATCATGCCTGTTCTACGATGGCGGTAGGCCGCCATGGAGACCGCGAATTTCCAACTCAGGGGTGCCATGTCCGGGGGCGTCCGGGTCCATTCTCCACGAACTGGATGGGGTCCCTACCAGTTGGTCAAATAAAACCATGCAAAAAACGACGTTTTCACGTACAAACACCATGTGGTTTTGTTAGGGAACACCAGGTCTTTGATGGTTTGTGAGGCCCCTGGTCAACACGAAACACCATGGTTTTTTGGAACTTCTGGTCTACGTGAGATGACAAAAAGCCGCTTGGGTCAAACCCAGGCTGCTGCGCTGCACCAGACAGCGAAGGAGATGGCGGAGGAGATGGCGATCCAGGGTTTCGCCGTCCCAGGGTGTCTGCAAGAATCCCAGACCATCAGGACTGGATCTTCCGTTTCAGAAAAGATGGGTTTACTCCTTCCCTCTACCAGGAGAGCCTCCACAAGGAGGTACTTGACATGCAAACGCTAGGGAATCGTACCATCTCGTCTCAGTCCACATACCCAGACACGAGGCCTGAGGGGATGCCCGACCCCCAGGTCAACCACCGTTCTCATATGCCAGTCCCATGGAGTGTTTGGGATTCTTGGCAAAAACCATGAAACACACACTATCACTGTGTACTATCACTAAAGCTTGAGGCATCTCATGTACTATCACTGTGCCCATGCGGTGATGGGACTGGCCGGCTAATGGGACTCTTGCCCGGTGATGGGACTGGGAAGAAAACGGTCGTCCGCCGGAACCAGCGAAGGCACTGCATGCAATTTGATGCCATGCGAACAATGTGAGGTTCAGATCAGAATTTTCCAGCTCTGGATTGATCTGCGACGTCAACTTAACATCATCATCTACAGTCCTCAACGTTCCGGGTGAATTCTGGCCCCGGATGCGCTCTCGACCTCTGCAGCTGACGGTGAGAAGGGAGGGGCTGGGGACTGGGGCTGCCTGGGGCCAAGTGTGGCAGATGCCGGACACCGCGTGTGAAACGCAAGGTTCGACTTTGGGAACTTGGAGCACTTTGACCGAATCGAAGGTTACCATCTTACCACTTATAATCGCTTGTACAATTCAAACTTTACCCTTACCTTAATTTATGGTTGTAATTACTACTGTATTTGTTATGGTTGATGTTGTGGTTGTGGTTGTCGTTGTGGTTGTGGTTGCGGTTGTTGTGGTTGTGGTTGGGTTGTGGTTGTTGTGGTTGTTGTTGTGGTTGTCGTTGTTCTGGTTGTGGTTGTGGTTGTGGATGTGGTTGTGGTTGTTGTTGTTGTTGTGGTTGTGGTTGTTGTTGTGG